TTCTTGACCCGACTCATCGCGTTCACTTTCTCTCTCTCTCTCTCTCTCACCATCTTTCCCGACTCGGTCTCTCTCCTACGGCCGAAGAATGTAAGGACACGAACCAGGAGAAACGAGACGGCGACCAGCCTCCTCCGGTCGAACCGGAGAGGGTAGGGAGAAAACACGTCGGATAAGAAAGAATCTGTGGTAAGGACAATCACCCGGGAGAGGTCGAACGCTCCCTCCGTATGTTGCGGGGCGACGAAACAGTCCAAAAAGGATATTTTTCCCCGTGTGGAATTCGGGAAAAGAAAATCACCGGCGCGTGCATTATTCCAGTAAAAACGGTGACTCCATTTTTTGGAACCCCTCGAGCCATGGTCGTTTATGCTACACAGCAGATTTCACACGCTCAGAGATCTTATCCCTCCGTGTTAGATAGAGATCTGAGTTTAATTATTTTCGACGGTAACAAACCGTGGTATGTATTAGATTCAAATGTCAATACGAGATACTGTCAACTGAGCAATCCGACGGATTGAACAGGGGCTCCGGTTTTTATTCTCACGGTTCTCGGTAATTAGTCGACTGAGGGATAGACGATGCATATCTCGCTACCGACTAATTGTTTGACACCGAATCAACATCCTATCCTATGGTTGCCGTTTACATTTCAAATCGTCTTACTCGCGGCTCTCGGGAGCAGATAACAGAGTATCTGGTAACGTGCGCGCCTGACAATTCACTTTACCGTCGGGCACAACGATTTCTCACATTTAATTAGGAGAGAGAAAAAGAGAGAGGGGATCGCGAATTATCCACGTTCGGGTGAGAAGAACTCGGAATTCCAAATCGACTTTTAATTACGCGCGGAACGAGATAAAAAAAGTAACATATTATTATATCGCGTTACCAGCTGACAGGATTGATAAGGCGAAGATCTGGCATTTCCTGCCTGAACGTTGCACGCGGCTTACGCAGCTGTTGTGTGCACCGTCCAGAAGCTCAGGTTGGATCGCGAACCCGTTCAGGAACAAGGGGGACCGGTTTAAGCGGTTTACATACATCGCCGGCTACTTTCTCCGTGACAATAACAATGCACTTTGTGCCTCGATAATGCACCAAACGGACGGCCGGGTAACAAGTTTCCGATCTTTTACTTCCCTCTTTTTATCGAGGGAATCGCGATTATCAAACATTAAAAATAGAACACTTCGAGTTGTTCGTTCAGTCACTGAAACGTTTATGTAAATATGTATAATTAGCAAGATTTGTCGTTTCATGTGTCATGCATTTCCTCCACGATATAACATAGTAAGAAAATCTTAATTTATCGTATGCACGATGCGAACTAATGAGCCGATCAGCTGATCGAAGTCGGTTACGTTGTAATTCTAATGAGTAGCTTGCGATCGCATATATTGTCGAAGCGAGGGAAGATAACGAGCGTAAAACGAACGCGAGCTATTTTTATGTCGATTTCATTTTCAACTAATCGCCTAACGCAGGATCAACGATTGTTATCGCGAGACGAGTGTGCAATAATACAAATTATCGAATGGCAAATACTAGTGATTCATGTTTACAAGCAGTAACAACCGTCGCGGAGTTATATTCTCGGTTTCTCAGGTAGAAAATAGATTTACTTTGCTCGGGATAGAAGACAAGGAAACAAAAGATTCGGAGCCGTTTCAAGACCCTTCCCAGGTATCGTATTGTGGGTTCTACACTCGTCGAGGAATTGACCGACAGACCGCCTTCGAAGTCTCTTTTCCAGTCCCGGCAGGCCTTTTATGCGATAACAATACGCTTAATAACGTGAAAAATAGACTTAGGCAATTTCGACGGTAGTTTGCACTGCGAAACGTAAGAGAATAAACTATACCTCTTATCCATTGTTTCTGTAGATTCCTACGTGACACGGTTTGACCCGCGTTTACAATTTTGCCAGTAAAAGCGAGAATTTCCGGCCGGGATTCCCTTTTATATTTAAGTCAGTCAAGGATTTAAGAAGCAGCAATTATAAAGCATTTAACGATTTAAAAGAAATTCGAAACGTTTGTTTAATTTACATAATATAACAGGGGAAAATGGATTGGCAAGGAAGCGAAGTTACGTCGTTGCTTCTTATCTATAGGCGAAAATTGTAGCTCGTTAACGAAGACAGCCGCGTCAGGGCGCGTATCACTCGATGTACGGTAAAAATAACGATTAGTGGTTGCGTATGCGATAAATCATGATAAAAGGTGCCAGTAGCATCGGATAAGAGCTTTCGTTGCCTCGTATGGACGCGGATACACGCCGTTCTCTTTTTTGGCTCGCGCCAAACCGAGATAATAAATTCGATTTATGCTCTCGCTTCGATGTTCGCCGATAAGGCCCCGCGTAATTAATCCGTTCTATTTCGAAACAAGCGTCGGCATTTTCCACGCAAAGGTAGCCGAAACTCGTTCCCGAGTTCAAGCTTCGACGATTTAATTCTGCAACCGCGTTAAAACTGGCTCCAGCAATATTTTCATTCCTATGTACAATATAAGTTTCAAGTATCTTCTGTGGTGTGTATAGTTTTCCGTTGGGTAAACCATATCCGTGTTTGGTTTTCCTGATAAGACTCGCGATTGAAAATCCTTTGAGAATCTTCCCCTTTTTTCAAAGATAAATCACAGTTTGCCGAGCGTTGATAATCGAGAGTTGGCTCTTGTGCGTTGTTTGAATTACACTCGAAGTAACACTAGATTCCAGAGGAACACGCATCGTTCAAGTTAACAATACGTGATCTGAAATGAAAATCAGTAGCCTGTCAACTACGCGGCGAGCCGAATGTCTATTTGGAGCAAGGAAATATTGTATAATACTTACTGCTAACGAATATCATTATCACCGGCCGGCATTGAATTATGTAATTCAAATGCATATGAACGTATGCGCAAGTTTTTGCTCGAATCGCGGAGCAATTAATCGTGTACATTAAATCTAAATCTTGGCAAACAGATTTTGTGATTATCTGCTTCGTTTCGTAACACTGAATTTTCGATTCGCGCATTATCAAGTGCGAAATGAATAATTGACTCATAAATTCCGATGACACTTTCGCGTGTATTGATTTTTACGACCACAACCGTCCATATATGGACGTACCCGTAATTATTTCCTCGCATTACTGTATCGTGTGCGCGGTATCTTTTTCAAGCTGAAACGCCAGTTTCACTTTCCCGAATCGATCGAGGGAAACACGATCCCCTAATTATTTTGCGCGGTTCGTCGTTGTTTTAACGAAAATCGCGACGTCGGATATTAAACCACAACATCGGGTTTCGTGTTACACACTACCTTCGCAAGGTCTGTCGTTATGATGCAAATTTATGTCGACGCGCTGGAAGAAAAAGGAAAGAAAGAGTTACTACGACTTCGCCATTGTTGTCATTACCCGAGATGTTGAACGTCTCATTGTTGTAAATGAAACTCAAAGGGACGAAAGCTTTGTGCCGATAAAACGCGAATAGTTATTTTACCGGGGCTTGTTTAATTCCGTTGGCAAAGTTGTTGCTGCAATTTAGCAACTAAGATAGTACCGCGCAACGCGCCCCGTTGTTAATTCCATTTATTTTTTTACCTCAGCAGCAAAAGTAAGCAACGGCCGACGCTCGGGTAGAACGTTCATAAATTAATCCCGTCGAATCAACGTGGCAAAGTTAAAACGCTCAACGGTTTAATTGCACGAGTTGGCAATTTGCTTTAATTGGTTTTTATTACTCTTTTCGAGCAATATTTTTACTCGACTCGTCGAACAACGCCTGGATTATCGTGTAATGAAATTTTCAAAAGCCCTTCAGCGTTAATATAAAAATCTATCTGGAACCGCGAACAGAATTCCAATCTGTTTCCCTACAACCAGTCCACACGTTGTAAACCAGCCAGTGTGTATAGATATGTATGCAAAAATCAATGATTGAAATTTTCGTATCCTCAGCAAGTTTGTGGATAAGGTATCCTAAACTTACAGAGGAAGTCCAACCGTATGAGATTATCATTTTGAGAACGAATCTTACAGGCGTAAGCTCATTCCCATGTCATAGACAAAATAGTGATAACGGCATGAGGCATAAAACCGTTTAGTTCAGTTTGAGTCTGCCAGTTCAAGAGAGAGCACCGAGAAAATTTTAAGATCAATTCATTGCATTCTTTACTGCAGTACGTTTCTCCATATACCTGCGTCCCTTTAAACCAACACACGTATTCACACTTATTATTTTAAACTCAATCTGATGAAACTTTATTCCTTCTAATAATAGTAATAAAAAGTTCCGGTCGTAAAATTAGATAGTTTGTTCACGAGTGTTTTCAGCGACACGCAAATAACGTAAAAACATTGCTTTGCACGGACCGTGGCGTGTACGGGGAGAAAAAGAGGAAGGGATAAGAAAAAAATGAAAACGACACTCGGTGCGATGCACGGTTCGCGTTGGTCTGCACGCGCGCACGCAAGAAACATGACGACCGTCAACGAATCACGCCGCTATAGAGTAAATCTGTGACACAGGTGAGATGTGAGCGTTGATACATCGTGTCACGTAAAAAACCGTCGAGAGACGAAAAATTAGTACATATCAATTCTGTGTATTTCAATTGCTTCCATCAGACAGAATAACGATTAAAGGGAACGTTCACAGTTTAGTAAAAACGATTTGCGATTCTCATAATATAATAGGAGAATGCATTCGAAGATGGTGAACATATGTTAAATACATAATTCGTTAGCCAATCAAAAGTAACCCTGAAGATACGTATCTTACGTATTTAAGGAACGAAAATAAAGAACATTGCTGGCAGCCAGGAAAATAAGCATAGAATTTTAATCAATGCAAAAGATGCACTGGCTACGATATCGATTTCTCGTAAGCGTCGATATCCGAGGGCTTACTACAAAGAATATAGTTGTCAATATAAACAGTCGGTGGACGATAGAATAACGATTGAAGACCCGTTGACAAAGATAAGAGAGAGACAGTTAGGCTCACCTCGAGTTCTTCGTAGGTGCGGAAGGCGAGTATGGCAAAGCCGTCGATAATCTCCTCCTCGAAGAGAGGCTCTTTCTGGTTGGCAGCCGCGAGGGAAGACTTCTTGCGAGGCCTCGGGGGTCGCGGTGGCCTGGGCGGTCGGGAATGGCTGTCACGAGGATGACCGGTCCTGGCGAGTCCGAGGCCGAGACCGGCGGCGGGGTCCTCGTCCTCGCCGCTGTGACTGTCCTCCTCGTCGTTCGGCCGTTGCCTGCTCTGCTGTTGCTGTTGTTGCTGTTGCTGCTGCTGCTGCTTAGCCGTGGCCAGGCTCTCCCTCTGCGCCAGCATGCGCTGGGCCCGTTCCCGTCTCCTGTTCCTCTGGCTCCGCTGTTTCGCCTCGATCTCCATCTTCGGGGAGCTCCTAGACGTCCTGTCCCCGTACCGAGAGGCCCGTTCGTTGATCACTGGTTGCACGAGCTCCGGTCATCAGACGACCTCACGATTCCTCGACTATTCGGTAGCCTTGTAAAACGCGGAGACGGAGGTGGCACGGCCGCGACGAACAACGCGAGAACGATGACAAGAAGCGTTGTGCCGCGGTGGTGTCGAGCATATTCTACCACGGTCGTCTGTAGTGCTTCTTTCACCGTGAGAGAAGACACGCGAAGATAAAACGAAGCAGAAAAGGGAGGAAAGAAGGAGAGCGATGCGACGGAATGGAAAAACAGAGAAAATGAGAATAAACGAGCGAGAACCGAGAGAGACGGAGTAACGGGGGGCACGGTGAGGAGAGCCGCACACTGCCTTCGGGATATACACTCTCACAAGACACGGGACGTCTACCGACGGGACACACGCAACTATAACGCTCTTGGAGATGGCTTCGATGTACGCGTAACACCCGACCGTGTTGTATTCCTTTCCGTAGGATGGATCGACGAGTCTTGTACAGATTTTCGGTCGCGAAAGACCAAGTTCAGGCGGTCACACGGTGTCACATCGATCGCGCTCCGCGCCAAGGAGAAGAGGAAGAAGTCCGATGTGCGTGGCGAAGAGGCACGAGAAACACGCACACACGGGGCGGACAGACGGAGACGGACACTCTGGGCAACGGGCACAGAACTGGGCAATGCACACACTACGTATTCATCGGAGGCGAGCACACACTTGCGCGCGATTTTATTCACGAGAAACCCACGAATCACAGGCACGCTCGAACAGCTACGACGGTATTCCAATGTATCGGCTGTTCGAGTGGTTTCATTCTCCCCATAATCACGACCATCGTTATCATCATCATCATCATCATCACTCTTCTTTTTTTCTCCTCTTCGTCCACGTCGTCGCCGTTAACGACGAGGACGTGGTACAACACCACCACCGAGCACCGTCCACCACCAGTAACACTGCCGGCTCTCGCGAGCTGTTAGAAGTCGCGCTCCACCGTCGAAGGTAACGCTCGTCGCGACGACGATGGTCGAACCAGGCCGCGTATTATCGTCGTTCGACGGCGCCTCCGCGAGCAGTCGGATGCACCCTGCGAGGCCACGGGCACGAAGTACACCGATTGTTTGGAATGGCGGATCGAACAGGCACGCACGACTGCCGCATCGTGTGGTAAAAATGGCCGCGACCTGCCCACACCGTGCCTCGGCTCTCGCGCACCTTCTTTGACAACGAGAAGTCGTCGTCGTCACGGGGCGATCGCGCTTATCTCGCACTGACACCGGTACATCCTCGATCACGCAGCCACCGATGCTAGGGAATCACCGATCAACCTAGCACACGCCCCGAATTACGCGTGGACGACGCGATCTCTCCTCTATGCGCTGTGCGCTGCTGCTGTTCTTGCTGCTGCCTGCCGTTGCCGCTATGCATTTCTGTCATCCGTCTATCTCCGTTTCCTTTCCACTCTGGCTCTCCCTCTTGCTCGCTCCGCCGATGCTTCGATACCTTCTGCTCGTTCCGTCCCCCTTCCACTCGCCGAGCTATTTCTCTCTTAATACAACGACCGAGAACATGGCGTACCTATGCTTCGAAGGCGAACATACGAATACGAACAGAGATACATATACGCTCGATGTGCTCCCCTGCCCTGCCTCTATCCTGCTTCGAGCACTAATGGATTCCCCTCTGCCCCCACCCTCCCACTTGGCTTCCATCTAGGTCCTTTCGTTTTCTCACTAGATCGTCCGCAGTGCCATCTGCATGCGTCGAAGAGCCAATCCGGCAGTAAACGTGTTCGCCAGTAGTTAACGCCACTTGCTTGCCGACTTCGACAGCGGGTGAATTACAATTTTGAAAGATCAGTTGCGAAACTGTAAAGAACGTCTCAAGAACGATATCTATAAATCTCAAGGAGCACAGGAATTAGGTCGAACATCAGTCGCTTTCAAATTTCTGACGAATAATTGCATGAGAGGCAATTTACTTTGATCCTTTCTTTTTGACTTTCACTATTTCACGTTGTTTAAGCGAAGTAATTCATTCCAGGAAAAAATCGTAAATCCGATTCTTCGTAATGACGTTCCGGGTAGAAGATAGCATTTGTCGATTCTTAATCATTTGAACCAATTACGCGCTAGCCGCGCAAACTTCTCCACCGTCGATTTCGTGCCACCGCTTTTGGTGAACGTCGCGTTTCCAAATCCATATAGGTAAGCTTGCTCCTGCTACTTGCTTACCTACATATGCCGGTCTCGTCCTCCCGGAAGGATAATTGCACGCGAATCAAGCGAATTTTCATACCCTTATGGATCTGTACCAGTCTCGGAGTCGATGGATTTATGCGGTCACCATCTGACTAATTGCGTCTACAGTTACTCACGCACTCTCTCTCTGTTGTAATTTCTGTTATTGACATTGCAACGATTGCGCGATACAATCGTAATACACTCTACTTGGTTCAGCGTTTGGTTCCAAGGATAATGGGATCGCGGTCTTTACATAGACAACGAGATTAGCTCCAAGGCGAACCGGGATAATGAGATTACGAGGCGAGAAGAGTCGAGTCAGAATCTCATTCATCGCTTCTGGGAGTTTCGCGACAATGCGCGAGCGTGAAACTTTAATTGATCCTTTTTTAATTGCCGCGAATAATAGACGACTCGAGATTGGAGCGTTTACGATTAACACATTTCACCGGCCCGAACGTATAATCATTTTAATCAACGTTAATGAGCCACAGTTTTGCGCGTTACCTTCTAATTAGGCGATGTAACGTTCTTTAAACAGCTCTTTCGGTCCACTTTTCTTCTTTCTTTTAGCTCGTTACGTAAACGGAATGCAAAATCTGCACCGCCGTTTTGAGCCGCGCAATCCCGCATAATAGCGGCTATTACGGGTTCACTGTTGAGTGGAAACAGAGCGCATCGACGCGGTACCGAGTAGATGAAATAGCGATCGTTAACGATAATTATAACGGCGACAGCCTCTCGCGAAACCAGCGTTGCCCAATTTTCTAAACAACAATCGATCGACGTCCTCCCCAGAGTTAAACGTCTCTGTCCTTTTTTGAACGTCGTGAAATATGAAAATACGATTACAGAATGAATCACTTGGCACGCGATATAAGGTATTCGCTCAGGACGTCGCATTTGCATATTAACGACCTCCAGCGCTAAGAATAGGTCCCCCTGAAAATGCTCGTCGCTTCTGTCCAGATGTATTTTTCACGATAGCCCGTTTAGGGATGGGAACGTGACTCGATGTTAGTCCCCCGTCCAATTTGTTGATCTTAATCGACGCTGGACGTCAAACACGCGTGAGCCGCTTGCCACGTACTCACTTAATGGATCATTACCAAGGAAGTAAACGCTTCTGATAAATTTATAAGTATCACACGTTTTATTTGTGTTCGCACTGTGAGTCAGAAACTCGATACCTTGAGCTCTCGTATTTTTGTTGTAATACATCATTGACGACGTGATGAATTTCTTACGTTTATGGTCAATTTTACAAGCGACACGAATAATCGACTCTGACCTGCTGACCGGTTTTGTTGTAACGCGGATGTCCTCGTGTCCTTACAAGTATTGTCCCTGATCCGGCCGTTGTCCTTCTGTTCACAGAATAATCCCACAGCCTTCTACGTCCAACGGTTATCATTAAAAAATTAATACATTTTAATAAACATGACTTATAAGTAAGAGAAAGTAACACATAAAAAAGAAAAAGTGAATGATCTGTTCGTGGAAGAGAATACATAAGAATTTTATTTCTGGTGTGGACAATTTTTCAATTAAAAAGATATTACAATCATACTAAATCATTTCTCTTAGGGTAAATCAAGTTCAATTCCTCACGCGTACTAATCAGACCTAAGAGTACCTTCTGTTCTGACAGATTCATCTCTGGATTTGGTCACTCGTCGTCAACAGGGCTGTTTCAAAAGCCAATAGATTTATAGTCACTTGTTTGACATATTTAATGATTCCAGTGCAGTCATAAGAAGAAGGCTTCGTATGCAATTTATATCGCAGCTTGTATGACATCGCCACGTACCTCTCTATTCTACATTTATTAAAGTTATCTTTTATAAACTTAAAAAGCAACTTTTTACAATGTTAACTTTCTGCTCTCGTAGTTTGAAGGGTTTCTAACCGGTGAATTAAATAAATGAGTGAATAAATATCTATTTTTACGATAGATCCAAGGAGGAGAGTAAGGATCCATGGATCTCATCAGTATCGATCGATAGTTCGTGCGCGGTTCGTGCCGCTCCGGCGATCTTCGTCTCCCACTTTGAAACACCGTGGCTGGATCCGTCAGAAAGCGCTCAACGAGCGGACAGTATCGTGAGCGCTGGCCACGACAGCATGCGCGGCGGGAACTTCGTTCGTCGCTCGTCCCACGACTCGCCACGCCGGGACATCTCCCTTATCAGCTGACCACCGATTTCAACGACGACCCGTAACAGTTTCTCCGCAGCCGCGCGTTCGCCTGTGTAATTTATCGCTTATCGATCACCAGGGATCCGAGAGCAGCCGGGGAGCGCGATAGGAATCAGGTGAATGTAAACACGATTCTTTCTCTCCTTTCTCACCTGTTGGCTCGCCGTGAATCCCGCTTGCAACTATGACCGTATTCTCCCTTTCGTTGCATACTTTCCTGCAGAACGCTGCCCGCTCCATCGAGTAGCTTTTTCCTCGAAGGATGTTACGAGACTGGCATTGTCAGCTACTTACGTAATTTCGCGGCTGCACCGATGGGAATCTTCCCAGTGCAGTGGAAAAGACAAGTTCCCCTCTCCTCGTTCAGCTCGGGTCCGCGTGTTACCCGGCTATTTATTCGTATCGATCACCGATTCACCGACGGGATTAATTTCGACGGAACGACGAACGGTGATAAATCGTCCCGGTGTCTGAACGCGGTTAACATGGAAACGGTGTTTCTTGAAATTCACAGAAGAGCGGTCAGGCATTTTTAACAATTATCCCGCATTCTGCTTTGCTGCGTTTTCGTGTGAGGAGTTAAATGAACTCGGATACCGTTTCAGAACAGCATGATTAATTATCAGACTGTAGATCTTGTGCATTCATAGAAAACATCTGATAAAATTAATTCGTGTAATTTGGCGAGAATACGGAAAAATTAACTACAGACTATTAATTAATGCGTAAACGCGAAAGCGTGTCAGATTGTAAATCGCGGTTTATCGTTGTTTAACGAAAACGGCTACGTCCTCGCTGAGGTCACGTGTCCGTCATGCATCGCACGCATACCGCCCACGAGTGTCCATGTCCACCTGCTATCCGATTGCTCTATTTATCTGTCGCTCCGAAGTTCCCTCGACCACGCATTTAAATCGCCGGTAACGCGTCGAGCCGGTGATTTAAACGGTATCTCGCCACGAGTAATCGCGTTCGCTCGATTTAAACCGTGCGATTTACCCGCTTTTACTCAAGTCTCGATGGTACGGAATATAAGTAAAACCGAGAAGGAATGCGAGAAATCAAAAAACTGAGACGAACCTACAATGAACGTCTTTTTTTTCTATCATTTTGTATGCAAGCTTAAGCCAGTGAGTAGAAATTGGGACATTTAGTATGCTTCTTGTCATTCATAATATGGATTTGGAACGTTTATAAATACACTGGTGAGTTTATGCATTTCTAAGAAGACTGAATGCGTGGAATGTATAAAAACCGTTTTATTCGTTCGGCGAGTATCTTTCTCTCAGGTGGGTCAGTCGGCTGTTAGCCGAAGCAGGAGAGCAGAAAAACGTCCTCCGCAGCGGACAGTTTTCACTCGTTTAGCCGGTATGACGCATCCCTGACGTCACACGCATATCCAATGAAGAAAAAAAGCCGACGTGGTCGTATATAGAATTGTCGTTGACGCGTGATGTCAATACGAATTCTCCGATTCTGAGGTAAACCGTCCTCGGCAAATATTATTTCGCTCCACTCCGCGCAATAACCGAGCGAAAGATTTCGTCGTATCTTTTATCACGTTAATCGAAACATGGATGATCGTACCGGTTTCACAATTATTTTCCTCTGGTAGCCGTCACTCGTTGTAAGACGGCACGTTACAAGTCTAGATTCTAGGGGAGGAAAAATAGACGATACTTACGTACCTGTTCCAGCCAAGACGGGGAGAGCTCGTGCGTAATTCCAACCGCAAGGACGCAACTGCTCAATGGCGTAGCCTGACGTTTTCCTTCTCATTAACTCCCGTCCTACGATTCACGATGTGTCATTCAGACACCTTGATTACAGATAAATGAAACGATGGAATTTATAGTCTCGTCCAATCGTAAGTTAATGATGTTTGTGTTAATAGAAACTACGTTTAGCTTGTTTCTCTCATTTTGTCAAAGCCTTCGTATAGATAAGAACCGATGTAAGTACGAAGCTAATATCGAAAGACGACTGTTTCTAAGAGTGTAATAGGGACAGGTATTTAGCCGAACGATTAAACAGTAGAGAAACGCGCCACTGCGATCGGCAACTGGTCGTACGTGGCGCACGCGTGTCTTTAACCATCTCGATATCGTATCGCAGCCCATATCGAGGTGGTCGCGACCACAGACCCGCGTGCCGCTGCGGCCTTCGACTTCCATGCAGAAAAGAGCGTCCTGATGAATTATTATGCCCCGCCTATACGCGCATACACGCGTTCGCATACTTAGGCGCTCGCGATTACGCTACGAGAGTTAAATAGCCTGCGTCCGAAGATGCTTCGCTTTTCCCCGAAATCAGGAGATCACCGACACCGTTGATGCAAAAATAATGTCTTTGATGCTGTTATTAAATATTTAAAGAAACTATGCTAGTAGCTTTGCACCTATTTAATATTTGCTTTGATTAAGGATGTATTGGCTATACAGTCAATCCGAAAAGTTTATGTACCTTAGAAAAACGCATTTCCTATAATTAAAAAGAAATCAGACGTCGGAAGAATAATACTAATAATAAATAGCACCGTGCTAAAA